ACTTCAGGCCAAAGTGCTTTTTAGGTTTCCAATCAGTATCACTTCTTATTCATTTCTACCCCTAAGTAGGACAAAAAATAACCAAAACCAAGTAACTGGCCTGGGCTCAATAGGCAAATTACTATGCTAGTTAGAAATGTGAAATTCTAGAAAGTATAACAGCTAACATTAGACAGTAAAGATCTTTAAATTAGGTGATAAAAAATACTTCGGACAACTATTTTAAACAACTGACTGTAAGTACTAAGCTTAAAATTTAAATTAACTATAATACCTCAAAAATAGGCCCAGGAGTTACATTTCCTAATCACACACATAGCCTCCCTTCAACCATAGTTAGGTTGTCATTAAATCCATATAAGCAAATAAATGTGACAATTATTATGAAGACATCTTAAGAGACATTTCAGAATCTATAAAAAAGAGAAACAAGGTTTTCAATAGCAAGATGTTAATAAGAAATTAGAGAAAACAATTTGCAGAAACCATATGTATAAATATATACATATCTTATATATACATAAAATATGGGTCAGGTGAAGAAGTCATAGTACATGTTAATAATTTTAGAAGAACTAATTTTTCCTTTTTCAATGGCATGTTTGCTGCCTCTACTTTTATAACATAGCTTATGCAAAACTGTAGTCTTTACTGCTCACCATCATTTAAAAATTTCCTTTGGAATTTGACTTTTCCTCCCCTTTTGTGTCTGTAGCATAACTGTATTAAGAAAAAAATTAAACCCTCAATTGGAGTTTTTGATAATGTATTTATGTTATGAATAATTTTTGATACTGTATTTTCAGTTATGAATAGTTCCTGGTCTTTCAGTGCTTTATTTTACATTATGGATTTGTTTCCATTCAAACTGCAAGCAATTTGCAAGTGTACATATGCAGGCTTATTAAGATTGTAGATCACCTGCAGGAAATTTTAAACTACAGTTCTGGTTCTTATTACTTGTTTTCAATGCCCTTTTATGCTACTGCCATGTATCTGGATAGGGAGTATCAAAATAGTGGGAAAGCTTATAATACTTCTAACTTACTACAGAAAATGCTTTCCAATAGTATATTTCTTTTCCAGGTATTGATTTTGTTAACAAAAATTTTAGACAACACTAATATATGAGAAAGTATTTTCCAAGCTAAAATGTAATACTATGATTATGCAATATGATGGTTGGGTTTATGACTTTCTGATCTTACAATAGTAACAATATGCATTCAGGAGAAATCATAATCATTTAATTAAAACATACACTTTGATGTTTTTCTAGACTAGTGACATGTGGTATGATATTGTCTTGTGATGCTGGGCACATAAGCAGCAAGCCACAACTCCCAGTTACCCACGTGACAATGGCAAATGATAAGCCACAGTCTACTGTGACACTAAACTCTGATGTCCAGTAGATTAGTATATTAGGTGCACTTTTGACTTACAATATTTTTAACTTGTGATGATTTTTATCGGATATAACCTCAATTTGAGTCAGGAGAACAGGCAGATACCTGAATAAAATTTTTGGGTAACCAAACTAGGAAAATGAAATACCTATAAAGAGCTAAGTTTCTCATTTGCAGAATCACTAAAATTGTGGATAAATTTTATGTGATTTGTACTGAACATGGTGATACTTTTGTCCTATTTAATTTAAATACTTCATACAATTACTGATACAACTTCTCTGGCTCAGCAATTATAACTTTTACCATGCAGATATTCTGCACTTGTCTGACAACAAAGTTTCAATTGCATCCAGCAGCTTAAAAATCAGGTCTTGAGGTAGTTAAAAAAACTTATATATGAACATACATACAGGTTTTTTTCAGATGATACATAAATGCCTTTATCTGAAACAGCATTTTCATAATATACCTATTTTCAATATATTTAGAAAACATGTCTCATTCTCTACTTAATTTAATGGATTTAGAAAATAGATACGCTGTTTTCTTCAGGAAAACTATATTGTAGTGTCTTTGTGAGAAATTTTAGTACTAACTTATCTACAAAAACTTGATCTCAAGGGCTAGAAACCCTTGAGCAATGGTTAAGGATTAAGTTACTGGGCATAAAGGCAGTCAATTTTTCTGCTGGAATAGAAAGGAGATATTTGCCACTCATATAGTCTATTCAAATTAGCAAAGCCTTGAGTATGAAAATTTAATGATAAGTACACATAAAAAGAAACTTCTTGTGTCACTTTTAAAACCTCTACTGTTTTTTTTGGTCTCAGTGACTCAATTTAGGTAGACAGGATCTGTATCAAATCATTTGAAGTTAGCAATAAAGATATAATATTAGTTTATAACACATTTTAAAGAAAAAAGTAAATAATGAACACAACAATAAAGATGCTTAATAATAAAACACAGCAAACAGGACATAAGTATCAAGAAGAATCATTTCACACATGATCATGTCAGACAGAACAGAAAAAGGAGGAAGATAAAAGTCAAAAGTCACGTTTGTTCCTTAAAAATACTAAAGGTATCTTTTTTCTTTTGGTGGTAGTGGGGATTAAACATCGGGCCTTCACACTGAGCTATAACCCCAGCCCTTGCCCAGGTAAGAATCAAACTTGTGATCCTCCTACCTCAGTATCCCTCAGGGCTGGGATTCAGGGATTACAGGTGTGCACTACCATGGCTGGCTAACTTCTATTTTATCTAAGTTTTGAAAGGTACAGTACATTCAAATTGCAAGTTTCAGAATAATGGAACCAAATCAGTATTTCCCCAATAATATTAAGACAAAAGATAACATAGCTTTCCAAAGTAAGTAATTTCTTGTGAATATCTGAACACTAGAAAAAAGCTCAGTCTTAAAATTACGTCATCCACTTAGACTGTTTTCTACATGGTGTTAATCACTTCTTCACTTTTATACACACTGTGACAGTCTATTAGAGGGATTTGATCACTGTCTGCTTTAGATGAGAATCAGTGATGCTTTTGGCCTCTTGACAACTTTTTACAAAGATAATGAACAGCCTTTTCAAAGGACTAATGACTAGTTTAGATGCATAACAACAATAATTCTACTATATCAAAAGTCTGCTATAAGTTCATGACTAATTTATTTCATTTACCTTTTAAAATATTCTCCCACTCCAGTTTTCTCACTTTTTCAAATGTCCACTCACGAACGAAATTAAAGGGTGAAAGAAACAAATGAACAACTGACCAATGATTTCTTTGTGCAATTCAGATACCTTTATACTATGGCTAAATTTCAATTATTTAGGAACTAACTATTCATTTTGTGGACTACCCAGACTCCATCCTTCATGTTTCTTCTGTTCATATTTAGGATATTTTTTCTTCAAAAAGGACTGGCCAGAAGGGAGGAAAAACAGAAGTAATTGACCACATAAAGACAACCAAATGCTATTAACTCAAATTTAATATGTAGTCATACAATCAAGAAAAACTTGTATATTATGGACAATTTCTTTTTGTCTTTTTGAGACAGGGTCTCACTGTGCAGTTCAGGCTGGCCTTAAGCTCACTTTGTAGCCCAGGCTGGTCTCAAACTCACAAGGATCCTCCTACCTCAGCCTCCCAAGTGCTGGGATTATAGGCATGCACCACCACGCTGGGCAAGGACACTTTCAATTTAGAGGTTACAACTGGTGACCCCCAACAGGATGAAACTTGCAGGCATTTTCCAATCAGCATTACAGTGTTAAAAATAGAAAGCAAATAGAAGACAACATTTAAACATCCTGTTATAAGGCAAGTGAGATTTTCAGCTTCCTGATCCCCCAGATAGAAAGACTTCGCAGCATTTGGCTGAAGTGCCACACAGACATTGAGCTAGAGAAGTGCACTGGCTCTCCCTATCCATGGGACGAGTGCTCTTCCATCTGGCACATTTCCCACCACTCACTGACACAAATACTTGCAGCCATTCATCAAGGGTTGTCTTTCTTCTTTTTTAGTTATTAAGAATATTTCTTTGGATACATGAATAAAAAAGCAAAAAACCAAAACAAGAAGAAAAAGTCAAGAGAGCCACGTATTTATTGAACACCTGAAGTAAATAATAAAATAACACATTCAATATGCAAATAATATGTCTCTATAAAAAAAAGACTGCAATTTAAAATGCCATTATGAAAGAAACTACACAAAGAGCTTATTTGTGTTACATGCCAGAGAATATACTGGAGTTTGCTTGATCCATACAGTATTTCACATAAGATGATGAACGATATTTTGTGGGTTAAAAGTATTATAAAGTCTTAGTATCATTTTTATGTTCATTTCATCAACAACCATACAGGTACCTGAAAATTGTTGATGTCATTTGTTACTAGGATATAAGATGTTTTAAAGGGAAAAGAAACTGCTGTTTTTTAAAAGACTATTTAATTTCTAAACAGAGCTACCTGTAATTACTTTGAACTTTATTTTTATAAAGCCAGATTTTATTAAAAGTTTTGCTTTAAATTCTTTCAAGTGAATGGAGCAACTAAAATAATTATACTTCTAAAAAGACAATGTTTATGTTTTGAATTTACTGTTACTAATATAAAATAATAAACAGGAACCTATTCTTAATATTGTTTACTTTTAAAATGTTTACAGAAAGGGGGGCTGGGGATTTAGCTCAGTGGCACAGCACCTGCCTGGCAAGCACAAGGTCATTAGTTCGATTCCCGGTACCAGAAGAAAGCCAAAAACCAAAAAAATAAAATAAAATAAAATAAAATAAAATGTTTACAGAAAGGAAGCAAGAAAGCTTAAGCTATACTTACAAAATTAGATTTAGGTTTTGGTACTCATTAACATGGGTCAAAAACTAGTCTCATTTAGAAAATCAGACCATTTTGAAATTTTGAAATATTATAACTTAATGTGAGTTAACTATTAATTTTATATGCCACTTATGAATCCTTTGTTCATCATTCCTCAAATACTTGTGTACTACAGTAGAGATGATGTTTAATTTTTCCCCCAGAGAGAAAGCAAGTTTTCAGTTTTGTTTACCATTCTCATTGCTATAGTTCATCAGCATGCCACAAAAGACAGTCAAGAGCTTCTCATTGGCGGGATCTGTTCTACTGCACAGTGACCTTAAACGGTCAATTACAATCTGTGCACCACCTGCTTGGTCAACTGCACTTCTGCCCTCATCTGTAAAACAAAGAGTTAAATTAAAAATAAAACAAAAAAGAAAAGTACCTTATAATTTCAAATACAAAACATAACAATATCTGCTATTCCTTTTCTTGTAAGTAGAAAATAAGCGCAAGTAGGGCACTAATATGTCTTTCTGGAAAATACAAAACAAATAAACATGGAAATGGGGTGGGATGGGGAAAAGAGACAACTACTTTCTAATAGAAAAAGATTATCCTCCCTGGCATTACATAAGAGCTTAAAGAATTCCTTTGTACCCTTGTTTATAACATGGACTTCTCTAACTCAGAAAGGAGAAACAGGAATTAAATGATATTGGCATAAATTTTTGTCCCTCAACTTGAAAACCATTAAATATATCTTTCTATCAGCAGATTTCAAAGTCAACTGTTATCACAGAAAACTGTATGGGACACAGTACAATTCTAGGTCATAATATGAAATTCCTACAAATTAGTACTAGAGTCATTTAATATGGCATTTTCTGTTGTCCAGGATGTTCCCCTTTTTTGCATTCTTAATTTGTGTTTCATTTTTCCTTATTCTCCCTACTCTAGCTCATACCATTCTATTTCAGCACTACAACCACTGGTCAAATAAGGTCCAAGATATTTTTAATTGTGTGTACAGGCACAACGCAAACACAGAGCAAGCATCACAACCAGTGAAACATAAAAGTACTTTCAGAATACTTTCTCACCTTTGAACAAATGGAAAGAGAAAAAAAGAGAATGTGTCTTTTTATATCTGACTACCTTATATTAAACATGACAGTCTCTAGAACTGTGCTATCCAACAAAAATATGATGGTCACAAGTGTGATTGACATGTGTAGTACTGTATATTAGTAGACACATTAAAAAAGAAATAACAGATATTAATTTTAAATATTATTCTAACATGCAGTGTACAATGAATGTAATACCTTATATTCTTTGTAATAAATCTACAAAATACAAGTGTATTCTACCCTCAGAGTTACAGACTCATTTGGAGATTCAATCACATTCCAATTGCTTAATAGCTAAATTTTGTGATTGGCTGCTAAAATGGGCAGTTCATCTACCAGTACAAAAGAATTATAGCTATGAAGGTAGTAAATGAAAGACTTAAATTTTCCAAAGAAAACGACTGAAACTAAGGCAATAGCTTCATAAACAGTAAGTGACGCTGAATCACAGCACACACAACAGCACATACAAACAACATATGGCAGGACTTCATATATACTAGCTTCATAATTGTTGAGAAATTTTAAGGAAATCTTAGCTTTATACCATGCTCATTTAATTTTATTATATTGGTCTACAGATGCATAACAGAACCCTACATGAATGGAGCTAGGAAGACCACACAAAGTTCTTACACTGCCAGAGTATCTAGTCAGATGAAACAGCAAGAACACTGTTAAAACCTCTTTAGAAGTCTAGTTTCCAGAGTTCTGTTTTCCAGTAACATAAATTATCCAAATTATTGGGCAATCTGTATATAGATGTCTCAGAAAAACTTAACATACTCAGACACTCAATAATACAAATGTACAGTAATATCCCATCTTTAAATTGCAAAAGTAGAACAATATTCTCATTAGTGAGTAAATATGGGCTTTCAAAATATAAATCATGTACACTTAAGACTTGGAAGTAGAAATCTTAGAAAACAGCTAAACTAAGCTTCAGTTTCCTATGTCAGGACACTAAGAATAACACAGAAAAACTAAGGCCAGAAACTATGTGGAGCCTTTTTGTAGTGAATTTTAAAAAGCTAAGTTGACTTCCTATCAATACTAAGTTGGTTAGTGGACAAAGTTGCAATAATAAAAGCTTAACTACAATTAGAAAGCAATGACCTATGTGTGCTTCACAGAAACAATACTTATCTCCACTTCCTCTACCCCTTTGCTTGAATTGTGTCTAATATAGCTCTTTACTCATTAGTTCCTAAGTTGGTTACAGAGCATAAACTCAATCTCTACAGTAGAAATTATCAGCAAATTGGAGAGGAAAAGAAAAACAAATCACATAACACTGTAACTTACCTGAGTTCAGAAATTATTAACTACTACTATAGGAAAATTTATGCAATTTCTTTTGTTGACAAAACAGCCACAGAAATAAGGTGAGAGAAGATTTTATTGAAATATTTAATAGAATCTAAGGATTCAAAGGAATAAATAATGTGGTATATATCTTTACAAAAAAGTGACAAATTTTAAATTTACAACATATTACAATAGCTATTGCATAAGTAGCTATAAATTGGTTTTCTATAGTCAAAACAGCCCTACAGCTTTGATGTTATGCCACTGAAACAGCTATCATTATTCACCACTTAATAATTTCCTAAAGAGTCTTTACCCTAAACTCATATCCCTGAATGCAGGCTTACCTTTAATTCTTTTCATAACATGTAATCTTACCTTACAGGTTCATAATCTAACTTGTGAAGCACTCTAAACTGTCACCTCTAGAAAAATACAACTTAATCTTCCATAATGGCATCCAACCAGACGAAAAGTATAATCCACTGACGCCTTGAGTCCTGTTACAATTTTTAGTAATGACTGAGAGACTGAAGGAAAAGCAAAAGCACTAAGAGAAAGCCCTCCAGCATTCTCCTTCCCCAAGCACAAGGGGACAAGAGCAGACAACAACAACAAAAGAAATCTGAAGAAGGGACTGCATTAAACTATGATTAGCAAAAACAAAATGTGAGCCACATCTTGACTCAGTTTGACTTTTGTTCCACACTAAAAGCCCAACATAAGAGGAAGTATGCTCATTTCTGGAGATTAAATACTGCTAATCTCAATCCCTACTATTTTTTAATATACAATGTTCAGCATTCAATAAAAAACTGAGATACTTAACAAAAGAAAAAACCTGTCAAAAGATAACAAAAAGAACCAAATTTTTAAGTTGATATAAATGATATTAAAACTATTAGACAAAGACATTATGCTCAATATATTAAGTAATCTAATGGACAAAATGATTAATATCTATTAACAGATGTGTAATTTTAGAAGTTTTTAAACAGGCAAATTTATGAGTTAAAAGGAAACACAGAAATAAAAAAAAAATACAGTATCAAAGATAATTATTTCAACAAGCTGAATAGTTGACTCAGGTAGAAGCAAGGGAAGACTCAGTGAGGTTGTGGAGCAACAAAAATCATTCAAGCTGAAACATGAAGGGCCCAAAAGAATGCTCATGAGAGGAACCCAGAGCACCTAAAGAGCAGAGGGAACGGGCAAAAGGTCTAACAGTGGTGTAAGTGGAATTCTAGAAGGAGAAGCGACAGACAACAAAGGAGACATAGCTGAAGAGTTAACCACTGAGAACTTTTCCAAATATAATGAAAGATTCAGTGTCTCAAATCCATAAAGTTTAGAGAACCTCAAGCGAAGGAAATAAGGCAACTCCACGCATAGGGATGCATCAGTCAAGCTGTTGAAAACCAAACAGAGATCTCTTAAAGGCAAACCAGAAGAAAACAAGAAATACGTATTACACAAGAGAAAAAATACAGCAGACTTCTATCCAGAAGTACACAAATTAGAAGACAATGGAATGGTAGCTTTAAAGTGTAACTCTGAATTCTACGCACAGTGACATTCCCTTTCAACAAGTAATGTAATGTAAAAATGTTTCAACCATATACAAGCTAAGAGAATTCACTGCCAACAAACTTATGCATAGATTAATATGTTTTTCAGAAGAAGGTATACAATCAAAGAATAAATTGCACTGAAAAATAATAAAAAGTGAAAATAAAAAGACAAGACCATTTTCCTTCCATTTTTAAAAATTACTGTCTAAAATAAAAATACTATGGGGTTTCTCATATATGTAAAAACAAAACATGGGAACAAGCACAATGGATTAGAGCAAGGAACTGGAAGTACAGATTTATATGGTTCATAAACTGTATGTGATATGACCTAATATTTGAAGACAAACTACAGGAAGTTCAAGATATGCATGGTAAACCACAGGGACTCCACTAAAAAAATTAAAAGTGGTATAACAAATGAATAATGGAGATAAATAGGAGGACTAATCCAAAAGAAAGATAAAGGGGGAAAAATGACCAGAAAACTAAGGAAACAGCAGACTTCATGTAAATATCTCACTTAAAAGTGAGAAGTCATATGGATAAAAAAGCAAGCCCAGCCATACTGACTATAAATAAGCCCTATAAAGTTAAGAACATTCAATAATATTGAAAGCAAAAGGAGATAAAAGATTATTCAAACACTACTCAAAGGAAAATTGGTATGTCTACATCGTCAGATAGAAGGTATCAAAGGGGTAATATTTATTCCTAGAGATTAGAAGTAGACTGTACAATGATATGGAGTTAATGCAGCAATAAGATGCAACAATTCTAAATATGTAAGCATTCATAACTAGAACTTCAAAATAAAGCAAAAACTAGCATGGCATGTTGGCACATACCATTAACCCCAGCACTCCTGGAGGCTGAGGCGGGAGGACTGCAAGTTAAATCCAAGCCTAGGCAATAGAGACATTTGTTCTAAAATAAAAATGGGACTGGAATGTAGTACAGTCCCCCTGACTGGGGCAAAATGGGAGGGAGGGTAATGAATGAGTGCATTGACACAATGTGGGAGAACTGACACACCCAAAACTACAAACCAGGTGCTTATTAAATATTAATTTGTGTCGGGTACAATGGATATAAATATGAGTATCAGAAGATTGCTTTCAATGAGATTCTATGCCTATGAGGAAGACAACAGTAAAGAGAATGAACACTTCAATACAGTTTTTTACAGCATGCTATGAACTACACAGGAGAACACATACCTCTTCTGGATTAGTGGATAAAGAAAAAAAGAGAAAGGAGGATTACATACCATTTTACAAAGCCAGACATTGTGTCTCAGCCTATAATCCTAGCACTTGGAAGGCTGAGGCAGGAGGACTGCCACAAGTTCAAGGCCAGCCTGGACTATATAGAAAGACTCT